CTCTTATATCCGATTCTTCACCAATCATACCTAAAAATCTTCTCTTAATCTGCATAAATAGATACAATAACAAAGTAATTCAGTTCCTAACATGTCTAATATCTTTTTTTAAAAATATCAATGTTTTCCTAAAAACTAATCCCAAACAAAAAAAAATTCATGCATAAAAAAAATTCAATCCAAATACAAAACCAAAACCTACAAAACACAAAAGCAACAATTTGTAAAATGCATGAAACAATAAAACAAACAATAAGCTTGTACAAACAAACACTGTTAAAACAACTCAAATTAACAGTTAAAACATAAAAAAAAATCGTTAACAAAAAAATCCACAAATATAAAGAAAAAAACATGAAACCAAAGGGAAAAACTGACATCCCAACCAAAAATCACCTTCGATTATTAATCCAAAATAAATAAAAACATCACTTAACAGAATAAACCAATGTGCACAAAAAAAAATAAAACAAAAAAAAATCAAACCCACAAAACATAAAAATAACAATAAGAACAATATATAAAACAAAAACTTTAAAACAACTAAAACTACCACTTCAACAATTTGAAATTCACCATCAACCTAAAAAAATAAAAAATAGAAATCTACAATTTAGTTGCTCACACATCTAATGTTTTCTCTAAAAAATGCAAATGCTTTCCTTAAAACTATTTTAATTATGCTGGAAACCCAATTCAAAACAAAAAAAAAAAAAACTTTACAAAAAAAATTCCAAACATGAAAAAAAATCGAATCCAAATACATAACCAAGGCCTACAAACTACAAAGGTAAGAATCTGCATAATGCATGAAACAATAAAACAAACAATATGCATGCACAAACAAACATTATCAAAACAACTCAAATTCACCATCAACCCAACAAAAAAAAACCTAAAAAATAAAGAACAAAAACATGAGAAAAAAAAACAAATAGACCAAAAAAACATGAAAAAGAAAAATGACAGAAAAAAAAAAGAAATATATATGTAAGAACAAAAAAAAAAGCAAAGAAAGACTAAACAAAAGAAAAAGAAAGAGAGAAAGAGCAAAGCAAAAAAGTGGTAGTATAAAATGTTAAAAAGCAAACAACCATTTTTTCAAACTAACTCGTCAATTAATTTTATTCTAATTGTTGATCTACCAATGTTAAACCTATAAAGAGGACAATATTATATATTGTTATATATATATATATATATGTATATAGCGAATATGTAAATTTATGCATATTCTCCTATTAATGAAAAGAAAAAAGTTGTAGAGGAAATTTAGGCATACTCTTGACTTTTAAGTTTACCAACAAAAAAAGTAAAGGTTATTAGGAAAAAGATTTTTATTGTGTTATAATTGTATTTTATAATCTTATTAATAGATATTCAAACATAAAATGATGTTCTTTCCACCGTTATGAAAAGTAACCCAAAATACAAGTGGCTCTTAGTACCCTTTTCCTACTTTACATATACACTGCCTACTACATGTTTTAAGGGAAAGCCAATCAAGTCCCAGCATGAAGACACTCGCATAGATATTCATGTCCAAGGAACAACAACATATTAAAATGGGTAAGATACCATCTTATCCCATTTCTCTTGCCTTACCAGTTACCACCATTATTGGCCTTTCTGTGGGTCCCATTAAGGGCATTACTGCCCACAAAAAAAATTAACTAAAAGGTGATTAAAATCCAAACTAAACCTACCATCAATCAATATTTATATCGATCTTTCATTCAACATTCAACAAAGCTTGTCATCAATCATCACTTGCCCCAAACAAGAACAGAAACTACATCTTTTCTTGGTGGGTGCCATCTTTTTCATGTCATATATGATATATACTTGACACGAAGGGCATAAAACCAATTATAGGGAGGAAAGATCATTAGGGTATTACAATTTTCACTAGCACTATTTCTTTTCTTACAAAAGAAAATAATTGGCAAATGAAAAATCTAAGATTATACATTATTTTTTGTCTTATAATATGATGAAGGGGTATTTCCATATTTTACTTGAGCTTACTTACTTCTTTAACCAATTTTAAGAAAGTTTTTTTTTTTTTACAGCAATCTAATACATTCAAGATTTTACTTTCAAAATATTTTCCACATAATCATGATTAATAGTAGGTAAGTGTATATATTTTTGGCCATTGGAGACATGTCTTGTCATCTCTAACTTTTGTGTTGAACATCATGAGGCAGTCAATGTGAAGTATTTTGGCTACATTTACCGAATCCGAAATTACTCTTAGACTGCCAGAAATAGTAATGGGAGGAACTGCCCAATAAGCTTCTAAAATCAGAGCTGAGAATCACCTGCATGCCTGAGTACTTTCGTTTTATTCTGTAAATTTATGCTTAAGCTATGATTATATGGAATATTAGTTTGCTTAATTAGTGAGTGGTACAAAATTAAAAGGCTTGTGGGAAGCAGTACAAATACTTGGAAGATTATGATTTTGACCATGAATGCAATTCTAGTTGTATTGTCAACCTCAATTTCTCACTCCAAAAGGAATCATGTAATAAAGGCATTTTCATTTGAGCTTTGAGTAAAGAAAAGAAGCAGAAATTAAGATGGAAGTGGGGAATCCTACGCTTATAAGGGCGGCAACAAAGATGGTATAAGTATTGGACCGATACTATTTAATTCAATTAATTCATTTAATATTTAAAAAATAACTTTCAACGACGTCTTTCCCTTTTTCTAAATTGCGCTGCTTTGTAAAAAAAATGACGTAAGGCATTGCCCATGTAAAACCAAAGCATCCTAGATTGTGATCTATGAATTGAGATGTGATGAAATAAATAAAAAAAGACAAACATCAAACCTCGTACTCTCCAATTATTTCACTCCTCCCCGTTTGATCTAACTCTTCAAACTATACCAAATTTCATAAAAGCCTTCGTATCTTTTCAACTATCTTTGACGCCTTACCTAATTCTGAATTACAGAAATGATTTACCAAAGAGAAGAAGCAACTGAAACTGAAAGTATATCTACCAAACAACAAAGCGAGCTAAGAGTTAATGATGATAGCAATGAAGCAATTGAAAGGGAGAATCCAGGAGAGTGGTTGAACCTGAGCCTAGGTGGGAATTCAGGATCTACAGCTGGAGACTCTGAGCCCCAATCAAGACCAGTTTCTACCAAGGTTTTCTCATGTAATTTTTGCGTGAGGAAGTTTTACAGTTCACAAGCCTTGGGTGGCCACCAGATGCCCACAAGAGGGAGAGAGGTGCAGCCAGAAGATACCAATCCCTGAGGATGATGATGGGTTTGCCAATGAGTACTCAGATGGTTAGATCACTAGGCGTCCGACCCCATTCGCTTGTGCACAAATCAAGCAGAGATGGAGCTGCAAGTGTAGCAACATTTAATGATACTTGCATAGGTTTTGGAATGACAGGTATGCACTTTCAGTTGATGACGCAATGGATTTTATGTGGCCAGGCAGCTTCTGGTTGGATCCTTAACTACCCAAACCGCCATCAGACCCATCCGAGCTTGACTTGAATCTTCGACTCTAATCCATCTACTCTCCTGTCCAAGTTTGGAAGTTTCTTTTGGTACTACCTAAGTACCTATTGTCTTTGAACAATCGTTGATTTGTTCATCCATCAAGTGAAGATACCAACTCAGATCGGAGCCTGACGACTTTAGAGAGTCAGAAGCGGCGGTTCTGTTCCGTGGTGCCTAATAACTAGAAGAAACGCCGAGAATATGCTTTCACTGTGCATCGGTATTTAGTTATTAGTATGTTTATTCCTTTTTCTGCTTCAAGCTTCTTCAAAGTGCAAATCACTCGCACCAAGCGATTGTTGGGTTTTTTTTTTTTTTTTTGTATCCATTGGATCTATTGACAGGAACCATAGACATATCCCTTAAATTTCAGTTCTTTCTAATTTCTTCATGCCAAATTATTGCCGCAACACTCGAAAGCTGAGTACACATCCAAATCTATCTGCAAAAGCGTGCTGGTGAAACAGTACCAAGAAATGAAAACATAAACCAATCTCTTCCTTCCGAAACCCATCCCCTTTTATATTTACATTTTCAATCATCATTTTTTCATTCCTATACTAAACCCTTTGGTCAAAATTGTCATCTACCTTGAACAAAAATCTTATCCAGAATCTATGTAAACCATTAAAAAAAAAAAACAAGAACAACAACCAAAAATTTGGGTTCATAAATATTGACATTATTTGACTATAACCAAAAGGAGGCAAGGACAAGATAAAGCTCGTTGTCAGAAGTTAGCCAAACAACCATTGTTGTGAGTTGTTAGCAGCAACTGGTCATTTGAATTCATTGACCAGAGTCTTAAATCTTAATGGTCATTTTCTTCTTGTTCTGCACGTCTGGCTGCACTTAAGATCTTGCCAGAATGCCAGGTCTATCTCTTGACCTTGGAGTCCTACAGCAATATGGCAGGTCTAAATTTTGATAAGTCCGCTGAATACGGATTGTTTGCGGTGGCGGTGGAAGATTACCTCAGCATATGAAAGCTTAAGATCACAATTGCCAATTAATCCTTTTACCTGTATCCGTATCATCTATATTTCTCTTTTCTATAATACTATAATTAATCAAGCACAATTAAAAATTATACAAAAATCTACCACTTAAATATAAGCTTTACATAATTTTTTGATAAATCTAATATAATATTAATTATCATTAATTAATTATATTACAATAATTATTAATGATATGCTCCTTTTACATGTATCTTCAGCTAGTCTCTAGTCAAAACATTTCAATCCCAATTCCTCTCAGGAATCTGAACTCTCGTTCTATTTCGTTCAATTCTATTTATATAACATATGAATCATGTTAAATATGTACAAAATATAAAAATTATTTATTATAATTTATATTAATACATCAAAATAAAACATTTATTCTATTTTTCCCAAATCTATATAAAAATCTATATAAAACTTTTATTAAAATTTAAATTATATCATTTTTATTTTTTTTATATCTTATCATTACATCGTATTTAGGATTACCTGATCTACTCTAAAATCAACCCTCTTATTTATTGACTAACTTATTGTCCATAACTTTACAGATTGGAACATATAAAACCAATTAACCCATCAATAAATTGAAAGTATTTCAAGTAGATTTAAAGAGCTTTAAATTTTAATGTTACACGTGCTTTGTTTGACAACAAATAGGAATTGCTTTGAGATGTCAACTTGAAGCGATGAGCTTCTGCACTAATTTTCCAATCTGGCATCCATTTGAAAAGCTCCTTGGATTAACTTCTTTTCCAGTTTTTGCACGTCATGGTTAATGTTGGAAGAGATGAAATTATGACACCTTAAACCAATATTAGATGTAGAATTCTTACTCTTGTTTATACCCAAAATTACATAATAAAAGTAGATTGCTAATGGCACATGAAATGCATAAACAAGGATTTTTTTTTTTTTTTAGGCTTCTGGAATCCACCTGAATGGACCAAAATTCACAGCATAAAAACAATTTGAATCTGTTGCGGAAGGCAATTACAGTCTACAAGTTACCAGGGACTACAAGCTTTTGGGTCTGATGCATGATGACAGGAAGCCTTTGGCTGATGATGCTTGGATCACTATATGAAGCAGAATCAGTAGGATATCCTTTCTGCACCATAGTTAGAATAGCATCATGAGGCAAAACAAAATCAATGTCACAAGAATAAGCAAGAAAAGCTGATTTTGTTCATAATATATCTTTTTTTTTAATATGTTCATAATATAGCTAAATAAGGTTCAATGTGCTAGTTTTATCATTGATAGACAACACAACAAGCTGACAATAATTTATCTAATAACTTATCAATTATGTGCTGCAGTTATCAAGGCTATATTGCAAAACATTGAAATTGTGCACTCAAACTGCTTCTCCAGGATTTAAATTTCAATGGAATATCATATTAGTACCCTGCATAGAAACAAAGCTCAACTTGAGCTTAATTTATGGGTATACTTTTTTCACGCCCAATCACAACAAAAGGAAAAGGGAGAAATAGCTACTTGAAACAGTACTGTTTTAAAGTTCTTTAACCTCACATGACATAGAGAAATTCATTAAATGACTTCTCATTAGGCACTGGTTTGGAGGAATGAAAAAAAAAAAACTAATTAAAGTTTCAGCAACAAGGAATTAAGCTTGTCACTTGGACTTACAAGGAAATATAAAAAGTTCCCAGGCAACATTCACAAGTACATATGTGCACATAAATACATGTGAGTGTGGCCTAGGCACTCGCAAACAAGCAGAGAGAAAGTGAGTGAGTGAGTGAGTGAGCGATCATATACTTACAGCAGACAAAGCTTGAAATGTGCCTTCCCTCCAACATCTTTCTCGAAGAATGACAGGATTTGCACTCTCGTCAAAAACACAATGCATACGGGTGTCCCTTAATCTCATTAGCACTCCATCAACCCGAAGCTGTTAGAAAAACCAAGGAAACAGAAAGTATAAGTGCACCAGCTTATATCTTAAGAGTTTATCGGGCAACCAGATGAATGACAGTTAGCATTTCTTTCAGGGATAAAGGCAAAAAAAGGAGGGACAAGGAGAAAAAAAAGGATTGCTAAGAAAATGTCAATCACATAGCTATGCCCTGTTAAAATCATTATGGTAGTCTCCCACTTACCCAAAATCGTAAGAGAAGAAACCAAGAACTTGGCATGACTCTCTAGAAAAAAGAAGATAATGTAATCAGTTGTCTTCCATTCTAACATTCTACAGATTACAATCCACTGTAAAAGGCAAAACTTGTCTGAATTCAACATTTACCACTTTCACAGTTAGAAGTGACACTCCATTATCAGCCAATTCGTCTTCATATAATACTACCTGCATGACAAATATGAATACTTCTGTAGCTGCAAACATAAGAATGGAAGAAGAACACACGAAATACAATGTGTCATCTTTCACACTATGTTTATAATCTAAGAAGCTTACCTCATCATAGAATAGAATAGGTTCTTTTAATGTGAGAGCAGCCACATCAAGCTTCTCTTCGCAATCCTCCCAATGGAAGCCCAAGCTCCCCCCTGAAATTTCCTTGCTTCCATGCTGATCACAATTCATAACACCAACAAAAACAGCATCATCATCACTTATGTTAAAAATTAAATTATCTAGAAAAAAAAAAAAAAAAGGATACACCTCTGTAAAAATTCCAACAAAAAAAAGTGTTAATGTATGACACAGTCATAAGTCATTGCAGAATTCCATAACAAAAAAAAGAATAAAACCCTAATTCAAGAAACAGTTTAAAATTAAGATACAATTAAAAAAAAAAAAAACTGACCTTGTCTGAATCAAGCTCAACCATTTCACTTCCACAATAAGGAGTTGTAAACGTATAGTCATAGTCCAATATCACCTGCTGTAAGGGTTTACTGCAACATCCAAGCAATCAATTTTGCTTCACCTTTAGTTTCATATTACAAATTAAAAAAAAAAAAAACACAAAACAAACTTAATGATCATAAAGTCGAATGCGAATTACATAAACAGGGTAAAAAAGAAAAAAAAATCAACATTTTTACCTTCTAAATTTCCATTTAGCAGCAGCAGGAACTTCGACAGGAGGCAAACCCTCCTGTTTCCAACCGGCCAAAGCATCGAATGCATTAAAATGAATTTTAGTGCCGCTGCTGACATGTTTAAGAACCAAACAACTTTCACCGAAAATCATTTCCGGCAAGTGAGAGGTTTGGAGGCTTTGTTCCCATTGTTGGAGAGCCGAGGAGTTGAGAATAGAGCGTTTAAGAGACTCGATCTCCCATCCGCGTATACGTAAACCTCGCCGCCCATCTTTCAAAAGCTCGGCTCTCGCCGATTTTAGGTCTTTCTCGTCTACTTCCACTTCCATCTTCGCCTATTTTACCAACTGTAACGCGTTTGTTTCCCTCTATGCAGAACAACAAAGGTCTTCGGTTTATTCTCCGCGCAGATATTATCCCGAGTCGGATCCGTTTTGGGCACCAAGGCCCAATATAAATGTGTACCCAATTGATCCTGGTGTTTGAAACCTAAAGCCCAATTGATCCATGGATTTGAAACCCAAAGCCTGCTGTATATTTCTAAAAAAGGCCCCTTATTCTTTAGGATGATTTTTTTTTTTATCAACAAGTTTAAATTCCATTGAAATTCAAATTTCAGTCTATAATTCTTTTTCTTTCCCCAACTATCCCAAATTATAATCTTCTTATCTTCTTAGTATAAAAAAAGCCCAAATGATCATAAGAAACTTAGGTTATATTTGATATATAAGATAATAAATAAAATAATATGATAATTATTTTATATTATGTTTATTTATATCTAATTGAAATGAATTGAATTACAATAATGATTATCATCCTTGATATAAGATGATTTAATCCTCTCAAAATGAAAAAATAATTTTTAATTCATAGAATTAATTTTATATATTTTATCATACCTTTAAAAATTACATCAATAATTTAAATTTATATAAATTTTAAAAAAAAAATCTTAACCAATAAATAAATTATTTATCTTAATTTTTGTACACATCAAACATAAAATGTGATGATATTATTTAATCTAATCTCATTTATGATATCATTTTATTTTATCATATCATAATTTTATATATCAAATATAACATTCGTATTGCTATTCTATATTTCTATTATCAAAAGTAAACATTCATTAAAAATAAATAATTTAATTTAATTTTCTAAAGTTAAAACCTAAGTTTATTAGAATGATCGCTTACTAAATTGCTATTTTAGCAAGATTGAGTACAGAATAACATTGACAACAAATGGTTTCTAATATTTGGATGACAGTCTCAGTTTCATGGCAATGCTATCTTTGTTAAATACGGAGGATTTTCTTTTTCTCTTCTCTAGCTATAGGTGCCTGGTTAAAATTTTTTCCTAGGGACAGCAAAAAATTTACAAAAATCATTTCCTCAACCAACAATTAAGCTTAGCAGGAGCTTTTGCTTCTTGATCAAGATTTTGAATCTAAATCGCTGCCTGGATCCCCCATTTCAACATTTCGATTTATCTTTCTCCGTCACCATCTTACAATTTTTCTTTGGACGAGCCGAGGTAATGTCATTTTCTGAAACCTTTTTGGCTGTGGTTTCGTTAATAGATGGTGAATTGTTGAAGCTCCAGCGAGCATTTTCAAACCATTTGCTAACCTGCACGATAGAGAAACATGTGATAAGAAACCAAAAATAAAAAAATAAACGAAATTATGTTGATGAAAATTTTTAAGAGAAGAGTGAGGTAATTGAGAGAAGATGACACTTAGTTGCTGCAAGTAAAGAAAGTGAAAGACCTGTTGGAAAGTCATTTCTAGCTCTTTAGCCAAACTCTCTTTCGTGGCTCGGTCAGGATACTGATTTTCCTTGAAAGAACTATGAAGTCTCTGCAAAGCAAAAAAATCAACCAAATTAATATCTACTTTGTCAGAAGAAAATAAAGTATTTAATCAAATTAGTCTCCACTGCTTTCACAAACAAAAGCTTGATTATGCAGAAGGTTTGCTCTTTTTCCAGAGTTATCAAAGTCATATTTACCTGCTTTACAGCTTCCCCTAGTCTTCTATATGTTGATGAACCCACTTTTTTACCACTTGAACCAGATACAGAAGTGCCCACCTGTAACTCAGCAGGTGATAAATCTGTATCCTTTAAGTTTGACTTCTGGCGAGTTTTTCTCCTAGGTTTATGCTCAGTCCCTTCAGGATACAGCTTTAAACCATCCGAAACTGACACACTCCTACTGACAGAAACATTTCCATTTGCTGCTGCTGCTGAAGCTGCTTCAGCAGCACATTTCTTCCTTTTTCTTAGAGCAGTGGCATCATTCCAATAGTCATCATCACTGGAACTAGAAGAAACACTGCCATATGTCTCCTGTATATACCCAAAAGAAAGATAAGCAAATTGCGAAGTAAATAACCAAAATTATTTAAATGACTGAACTCACGAAACGACACCTAATAGAAGCCATTTTGGAGCAACTCCATCAAGCAGAAAGTTATGTGAACTATGATAGCAACGAATCTTGGCAAGTTTTCTAAATGGCGAAAAAGAAAAACCAGATATGATATATATGACAGGAGAGGAACCATGTCTATTATGATATTTTGAAATGACACTCACATCATATAACCTTTTGTAGTCCAACCTTTCGATGCTTCGTTTCTTGGAAGCAGCAGCACCATCTTGTTCTGAAGCTGATTCCATTACTGATAACAGCTCATCATTCAAAGACTCCCTTCCACCGAGTTTAGGTTTTTGTCTCTTGGAATCTCTGGAAGCATTGATAAACACTGCACCTTCTTCTTTTTGAGAAGAAATATTATCTTCTAACATAGCACCAAGATCCTCAGAATCAGATGTAAAATCTGAACTTGAACTTTCCGGCTTAACCGCATTATCATGATCTGGACCATTAGGATCATAATCATCATCCTCTGAATCATCAGACCGAAGCTCCAAATATGGGTTGACCTTAGCTGGGGCTTCCAATTCCTCGGATGTAGAAGTGAAATCAGATTCATCAGAACTTGACTCATCTCCCCAATCCTTCTCATCGGTTTCTGAACTATCAGGATTATAATCATTATCGTCAGAATCATCTGAAGGTAGTCCAAAGTTAGGATCCTGATTTTGTCCACCTGCAGCTACTGCTGCCTCAGGAAAGACCTTCTGTTGATAGGAAGAAACATGAGGAGGAACAAAAAAATCCAACTAAGAAATAACTAATGAAAAGAAAGAGATCTGTTATTGACCTCCCAACTGTCTGTGAGAGAAAAACTTGTTCCTTGAGATTCATTAACCAATTCAATGCAATCAACTTTGCAATCGCATCTGGGGCATAACCAACCCTCATGATCTGGAGGAACTGTAACAACCAGGGAAGGGGTGGAAAAAGAAAAGCATTAATGACAATAAAACAATTCAAAACCCACTAAACCAATTTATTACTATCAAGCAGGTAAATCAAGATATTACTGTCTTCTTTTAACAAAGGCGGCTGCAAGCAATATTGATGGAATCCACAGTCACAAGCACCATCACATAGAATGATATCATTGTTGGAAGATAGGTCCTTGGACCCACATTTTGCACAGAATATCTGCAATTAAAGGATTTCATGTCTAAGCATTTCAAATTCCAAGACACAAATTATTACCATCGATAAGAAAATAGTGACTAAGGATTATGAACAATGCTTATAACTAAGATTCTCCTACATCTTCACTGTCAATTTGTCCCTCAGAATCGAATAAAGATTCTGGAAGCCTTCCTTCAGCACATAGTGAATCAATACGTTGAAATAGATCTCTAATTTTCAATTTGAGTCGAAGAATTTCAGATGTAGCACGTTGAAGCTCCTTCTCTGGCTTTAACTTTTCTAGGCTGCAGATTACACAAAGAGTCCAAAGCAATAACCAGACGTTAGCTGCCCATGGTGAAACGGACAATTAGACTACCTTGTTGACAGATACACAGATGTAAAGGATCAATTCAGTTCCAAAAGGTGACAACTTTGCATTTGATCCAATATTTTAACTTTGTTCTTGTTGAAAGTGTTTCCACAAAACCTGTTCTCTACATATTTACACTGAATACATAAAATAAGATTAATAAAGTTATAAATCATTAAATCTATAATACCCAATTGTGGGATCAGTCCAAAAGTGAGTTCATTTATAACATTATAATCATGTAAACAGTTGATTTCACTATTAATAATATACTTAATTTTCAAATACTCTCTTCCTATTGATGAATACAGTATCTGGGAAATTGCAAAGGGCATAAGGTTCTTTGTACGTCAATATCTCTTTAATAAATTATAACATAGATAAATCATGCAAAGGAAATACATACTAAATCAACCACACTGATACTGAAAACAATTAACAGATGAAAATGACAAAATGAGGAAGAAGCTAGAGAGTAGTAATGAGAAAGATTGCGGAAAGTAAATAAATATACAAGCCCTGACCCTTGACACTAATTCAGTTCATGATGAGGAAGGTTCAATGCTAAGCTTTGTCATTCCATCAAAGTTGGAATTTATATTAGACATTATATTCTCAAAGTAATACATGTTGACGGTAATAAGCAGGTAATTGAGCAACAGACGGTAAAAATTACAAGTTATGTTTAGATGATTAAACTCATAGTTTTTGCTTTGTCCTCCCTTTGGCAATTATATGTAATCTAAAAGATATCAGATTCAAGATCGAAACAAAAGCATTTAGTGACATTGTCATGACAATTAGCTCAGAAACTACAATGTGCCAAAGAGATTCCAGATAAAACAGTATAATAACACACCTTAGACCCTTCCAGCCTTCTGCAGAATACACAGCAATCAGACTCTGCTCATAGTTCATTCGATTCAATAAATACCTAAGATGTGCCCTGATTCTAGAATATTCATCAGCAACTTCTCTCTTTGCCTTCCTCTTTTTCCTCTTCCTCCTTTTTTGCTGCTCACTAGAACCAACATCAGCCAAAATATTGCTTGACTCAGTAGCTTTAGGTTTGTCTTGTGATTTTGAGCGCAAAATCCTATCACTGCTTGTCAAAGATCTAAGCATATATTTTTTCTTCATTCTTTTTGAAGTTTTTCCATCCCTGCATCGGCCAGAATTCTTGAGTAAATTCTTAGGCATTATCTCATGCTGTTCTGCACCAGAATTTTTGGCCATGTCTTCAATATGGAAACTTGGTTGTTGAATGCTAGGATTCCCTGCAGCAAATTCTTGAAGCAATCGTAAAGGTTCAACAGGAGAACTTTTACTAGTCTGAATAACACTGCTTGCACCTTCAGGAGGTGATTGTAAATGTCTGCTACAATGGCTCTTGTTCATATCTTCAGGATTCAGTTGCAATATTTGATTAAAAACATTACTAGATACTGCAGTAGTACTCTTTTCTATACCATTTGGTAAACCTTTAGAGTCAAGCTCTTGTCGCTGCTCTAGTGGTTCACAAAGTTTCTTTCGCATGTTTCCAGAACCAAAGTCAACTGTTGGCTCTGAACTATCAAGCTGGGGACATGAAAGTTTATCAGTCTGGTTGCACTTGCTTGAATCATCTGGCGGTAACCCTAAACCTTCAGTAATAGCATTCTTGGACAAATCTTCAGAAAATGGTTGCAAATGTTTAGCAGGAAGGCCACAAACGAAAGTACAGGCTTCTTCAAGTTCATTTTGAACAATTTCAGAACTAGGTTGATTCTTATTTTCCGATGTTTCCTTGTTTACATATTGAGAACAATACTTATGTGTCTTTCCAGATACAGTTTCTTGAGGGTAAAAACTTTTATCGGTATGATCATGGCCACTCGCACCTTTAGGAAGCAGTCCCAAATGTTCAGGTGAAGAATTCTTAGCCACATACTCAGAAGATGGTTCATGAATGGCAGAGCTAGACACACAGGTGGCAATTTCTGCTGATTCATTTTGTGTTACTGCACAGCCACAGCGATGTTTATTTTCTGAAAGTTCAGAATGTAAATATTCACTACCAAATTCATGGGCCTGCTGTGATGTACTTTCTTCAGGGCAACAATGGTTTTCTTTTTTACTCTTTGCTCGTGATGGAGAAACGCCCATATGTTCAACCTTGATCATATCAGTTAGAAGGCTAACAACGACACATACCAGCACTCATATTACGACAATAAGTTGGGAATTTTTAATTTTAATGAATAAAGTTTGGCAGGACATATGGTAAAGTTATTTAGATGACAGAATCCAAATATCCAAACATACAAATTATAACCCAAAAACTCTGCTATACGTTTCATCTTAAATTGCAACGAAACGAACAAATCTTACCAATCACAACTTGTAAGAATGTCTCACGTTGCTTTCCATGCGCCAGCAACAGATGGTCTACAATCTAACTTAGTTAACGAACCTCTGGGAGATAGATATATTACAGGGTTTCAACATTAACTAACCAAAATAAGTAAAATATTAACTACTTACAGCAGCATAAATCACTCACAAGGAAAGGAAAAAAAAAAAAAAGGAAATAACAATCAATATAAAAAATATCATGACATTAAGCTTCATTAAAAACCAAATTATTGCCAGTTTTACTACTTGGTTGTTGATAGGCTACCGATTAAAGTCCACCGGACAACAATAAAACTGACCTTAAAAAAAGTGGCATGGGAAAACAGTAATCAATTAAATACAATCATTTATTTCTCCAAGATAGACCTTAACAAAAGGAGCCCAATGTAACTCCCTTTATTTAAACATAGAAACACTAAAATAAGGGGAAAAAAACTACTATTTCTACCAATGTAATCCATGGTAATTATAATAAGAAACTTCAAGAGATTTTTATTATATTTTCAATAACACTAACAAATCAACTCCCTCGTAGGCTTGCTTCCTAAGAAAATTACAATTTTTCGAACAACTCTGGAGAAAATGAGAGAGGGGGAGAGGGGTGATTTCACTAATTTGGAATGGCAATACATTACCCAACCAGCCATGTATCAGAAAACTTCTCTTCCTTTAAAAAACAAAGGAGTCTTTAAACACACTAAGCAAACACTAAAAACGCTAATGGACCATCAAAGCTCCTTCTATATCAAACTATGATATTAATTAAAAAATTTTATTAGCTTGATATAGCCATCAAAATCTTTGATTGACATTGACAATCTTTGAACAAAATGAAGGCGTAATAGAAGTAATGGCAAAATGAAAAATTACTGAAAAACAATGTAAGAAATCAACATACCATATAAAGCACAAGATGTCAAAAAGATAACCTAAGAACATATTGCTCGGAGCAGACTCCAAAGAGAGCTACCCTAAAACAACGTCTATGTCATCGACAACAAGGTCATTGCATACCCTAACTTAGCTTTCCATTCATAACGCAGGACTATTCGTGCAATTGAGAATATGCATTTTCAAATGTACATCTCTTTAATTCACTATCACTATTCTATACTAGATATTACTTTAACTAAACAGAAACCCATCTTTTCAGCATTCAACAAAGAAATCTTCAATATTTAGGCCTCATTTTCTAAATCAAACTCTACGGAAACAAAGAAATTGCTCATCTTCAGCTTTCTATGGTTAAGCTTACACCGTATACAAAAACGAAACAAAACTTATGTAAAGAAAAAAAGAAAAAAAACTAAACCAAGAACACAAATGAAACCTAAGCAAAGATTATCAGCTTCGGAAACAAAAATGAGAGACGAAAGTTTGAAACTTTCACGTCCTTTTTTTTTCTTAACATCCGTTTTCTCAGCAACCAAATAAAGATAGACAAAGGGGGAAAAAAAAAAACGAAACAAGAAGAAAAAAAATCAAAAAAATTGACTAAGATGGCATTTTGAGTATTTTGTTAACAAAGTGAGAGCAACAAAAGCATTAGATTTGAAATTATTAGCGCTCCAACTTTCTCAGCGATTTTCTTTTCCTTTCTTTTATTTTCTTTTCTTTTCTTTTCTTTTCAACCAAAAACGAACAAACCAACAAACAAACGAACAAACAAAAGAAAGGTGTTAAAGGGAACTGACATTGAATCTCGAGTCTTCAGCAAACACACAGAGAGAGAAAGAGAAGGAGATTTTTCAGCAGCGATTCTTGAAGAAGAATGAACGTACATAAAAATAAAAAGGAAAGGCCAAAAAAGCGGCGGTGAGAGGGGTAGTGGATTGTCGTATGTAATAATAAAACGGGCCTGTAAATCTGGGCCACCGTCGCGGAAGAAGAGAGAGAGAGAGAAAGGGCTTGTTTGATTGCTTCCTATTTTGCGCCTGCGGCGTACATTGTTCTTTCTTACCCCACTTTTTATAGGCTGAGCCGATTCTTTGGGCTTACGTCACTTGTTTTTTTTTTCTAAATTATGTCACATGAGCTAGAGGCTTCAGCCCTGTCACATGAACCATAGCTTAGTTTCCTTATTATCATTGGCCCATATTTTTTGAATGGGCTCTAAGCCCCAACTAAGTTATATCATATCATATGAGAACTCTATTTCATTGTTGACAAAAAATGAAATAAACCAATGGTGCATTAGCTCAGTTTTGCTGCAGTCCTCCTCAAATAAAAAGGTCTTGAACTTTAATTATAATTTAAAAATTAATAAATTATATGTAAAATTTTTAAGTAGTCAACACTGAATTTCTTTTCTTTTATTTGGAAGACAAAAATTTTTGAATTTTTCTATTTAAGAAACAAATATATAAACCACTAAGTCCTCATTTGAATTTTACTGCATTTTTTATGTGATATAATTAAGTTTATTACATTATCAGTTGAATTTAAATGTCAATTTTAATAAAATTAAATTAATATTAATTTTTTAAAATTTTTTTTAATTATAATTATAATAATTTTTTTAATCGTAACTATTATAATTTTTATTATTGTTTTCAATTTCATCGCATCTAATTTTACTGTTTATTCAAATGAAGCTAAATCAAATATTTAAGTGCGTCAATGTCGCCATTTTTTGTAAAGTAATTTCTAATTTTTGTAATAATTTGTAGGGAGTTTAAAATACCAAAAAAAAAAAAAAATCCACTCTTTATGCAAGGGATAAGCATTGACCGTCATTGGGACAACTTGCTAGTCAAAAGATCAATGATGTAAGAAGCTGTTCATCTATAAACAAACTGTAAAAAAGTTGTTACGTCTTTAATGGGAGCATATGAACGAAGGAAACAAATGGTTAATGGCTTTTAAAAACTATGAAGAGTAGATTTTGACTATATGACAATGAAGTCTTCTTGAAATCATGAAATCTTAGATTAAAATTTATTTAAAAAAAAAAAAAAAACTACTTAGACTTGAGAGGAATCTATGTTTTGTTTGGGGAGAAACTGGAAAAGAGAATAAATTGGAGTAAGCTAGAATTACACATTACATTAGAGTAAATGTGATGAATGATGATCTTAGAATTTAACAGATGTATGGGTTAATCATGATCAAGAAATTAAGAATTGGCAATTTAGAACTCCATCCACAAACTTTGAATTGACCACGTTTTCCTGCTGTTTGATTATTGAGAAAGCAAAGAGAGGAGACTTAAAGAATGTCGACCATTATTTAGAACACCATCATCGTCACGCTTTTCTGTGTGGGGGAGTGGGTTTCTAAGAAAAACTCAAACCAAGAATTCACCGATGCCGACTACCTCATGCATAGCACTCAAGATCCAAGTGGGAAGTTCTGATCTGCTTTTCAGCAACCAAATCAATAAAGCACGACTTCGTTTAGGCAAGTTTTATATATATATATATATATATATATATATAATAAAAAGTTGTAATCTGAAAATTTTAAAAATATATATATTAAAAGTATTAAGATTTGATCTGTTGAATGTTATTTTTAAAAGTGATAGGAGGTAACTTTAGCTTTAAAAAATCCCTACTTTAAGTTGTGTTATGAAGTTTTTTATTAAAATAATTTATGTAATAAAAACTTTAAAAATAAATTACACAATTGATCACTTAATTATAATTATATTTTAAAAAATAAAAAAATTATTAAAAATTTTAATTTGTTCGTTAAAATTTATGTAAATATTTTTTCTCACTCAATTATTAATCTCTTATAACATATTGATGTGACAATGATGCGTTAATTATCAAATCTCGTGTAACATTATCACATTGATAAAATTTATTTTTTTAAAATTTATAAAATCACATCAATAATCACACGTAACATATCAGATTATATATTACGTGACATGTTGTTACAGACTGATTGAGTAATAAAAAAATTTTAATAATTAAATAATTATTTAAAAATAATACAATAATTGAATATAATAATTGAATGATCAACGATATATTTTATCCAAATTTTAATTTGCTTTTACATCGAATTAGATTTTAGAATATATATATATATATATATATATATATATATAGAGTATGGAAATCATGCCCACTTATTCTCTACGCTACAAATATTTCCAAACTTCCAACCATTTTTCATCCTTTTTTAACCCAAATGGTTCAGCATTGCCTAATTTTTTAACCCCTTTTTCCAGCAATTTTGAACTTCACAGTTAAATAATGTGCGAAGATGAAGTTCCACTGAAGCAAGTAAAAGCATGCAAAAGTCAAAGTTTCACAGCGAAATATTTACTTTCATTAATCATTAATTCATACAAAAATGCACTATTTTATTTTAGTACTAATAATTAATTAAACAATTATTAGAGGCAAAGTCGTGTGTCACGTACGAGCCATTGAAATCAGATTGACCCATGAAGCAATATAAAGTGCCGGTCCCAACACAAACCAAGTGCGCAAATTAATATTGGAAAAAAAAATCCCTCCGGCCTCATCCTGCTTTTACACCACGTGAAAACCGCAACTAGGAAGCATCCTTGACGCCCGCGGTTGCGCCATTGCTCCTTGGAAACGCTTCCTCGTGCAAACTTCTGTGTCAAAATCATTGGTGAAAGCTAATCCTAATAGACTTTTGACTTGAAAAATGAAAACCACTAGGCTACCAATTGCCGGTTCTCACTTTCCTCGGTTTCTTTTGAATTTAACAATTTAAAACATAACGTGATTATATAATATAAAAAATATAAAAATAATACGATTTAAAATTTTAATAAAAATTTAATATGAATTTAATAAAATAAACAAATATTTTAATATTTTAATATCAAAATAAATTATAATACGTAATTTTTATATAAAATATAATATAAATATATAAACTTTTAATATTTTATATTATACAAATACATAAATTTCCAAGTTTTTCCTTTCACGTTTGCTCCACTCTTCCCTTAATATATATATATATTTTTTTTCTCTTGTTGACTATTGAAGGATTTTTATAAAGTCTTTTGAACACGTTTCAAACTCTTCCAAAGTAGCCACTTGTCTTTTTTTTTTTTTTTTAAATACGAGTAATCTCATTTATGCACCAGTATGATGTAAAAACAAAATGAAAATAATTATTTGGTATAAGACAGATTAATAATTATAAGTAAGGAGTATATTCATTTATTATCTTTGTTAACCTTTTGAATTTTAAAATATAAACTCTCATCTCATAAATTTTATTTTTAATTATGCTATATTAATACATATATTATAAAAAAAAATTAAATTTCAATGAAATCAAGTGACCCTACTAATAATTACCATTTGATTATGCCCTGAGAGAAGTAGTTAATTAATAAGCAATACGAACTTAGTTTCCTTTTTAATTGTCCGTGACTATGATAGTTGTTTTTTTTTTTTTTCCATTTTGTGTTTGGTTTGTGGGGGGTCTGAAGAAGAAAAACTAAATAATCTAAGATGAGAAAAGATTTGATAATATCAAGTGCATATATAAATATTGGAGTAGACTTTGAAAGTCGTTGGAATTTTGGTTTTGTTTGGTGGCTATGATTATAACGCGGACATGCCTCTCTTTTGACTGGAAAATTAAGGAGACCAACCTCCTGGTTTTTAATTTTTTAACGTATCCCAGAATACAACCCAACCGCAAAATTAGAGAAAAGGAAGGACAATTGTTGAGGTATTTTAGTTTGAAGCATTCTTTATATAATTTTTTCCCCTACCGTTGAATTGAAAGAGTCAATCATTATCATATCTGGACCTTTGATTCAATGATTAAAAACGTTTGAAAAAATATTAAAATTTAATTTCGAGTTAAATTTTTTTTTATTTGTACTAAAATTTTATTCTCATGATGTAACAAAAAAAAAGAGACAATCATTATCGCATTTTTCATAAATGAACGTAATTTAATAAACAAACAACAAAAAAGTTTAGAAGATTGCTCTAAAAAAATCATATTCTTTTTTATTAAAAATAAAATTATTGGAACTCATTTGAGTTATATAAACTTTATAAATTATTGAATTAAAATTTCAAATTTTGTATTTTTTATAATGATTTTCAATTTCTTGATTCATATTATTCTCCCCAAATATTAAAAAAAAAATCCGACAAGAATAACTGCGTTAAAAAAAAAAAAAAAAAAAACCTCATTCTATCATCCCCTGAAAATTATTGCTTTGTTGAAATCTACTTTTTAGGAAAGCGATTATATTTGAGTTAAACGTCAAATTTTAATTAATTTAATTTTAACATTTCAAAAGCATTAAAGTTCAAAACTGTCATTGTTAAAGCTTAATCATTAATTATTAAAATTAAAAAATTAACACTTTATCAATAAATTATATGATTATTAACATAATTCGATTACAAATATATTTTTGATTTATGGGTGGTTCTTGGTGCCACATAAGATTCAACAAATAAAAGCCCTCATACATGTCTCCTTTATTCCTGCGTTTGAACTTCTGCTACGAAGTCATTTTCGCCAAAACTAAATTTTTTTTTCCATAAAACCTAACCATGAAAACAAAAACAAAAAGACTCCAGATGCTTTGCTCTTTTCTTGCCCAATCAAAATTGATCTCCATGCCCAACTTGACTGTCGAAGGGTTGAATTCATTTTTCTTTTCATTTTTGATACAATTATATTAGATTTTTTTTTCCTTTACAATGCCTCCATTATTTGACACAAACCAAACAGACTCTTAAAACCAACAAGAAAATCGTGGCGTCAACTTTGGTGCACGCTATCATCACTTTGGTTGGCGTCACCTTTGGTACACGCTATCATCACTTTGGTTGTGTGTTGCATTAGTACAATTATTAGTTACTTTTAGGTGACAACTTAGGAATAAATTTAGTAACCCTTTTTTCTCTTCGCATTTTAATAGGTTTTTTTTTATAAGAGATTATAATTTGAAAGTAGAATAACATATTACAAGTATTAAAATTTTAATATATATTTTTTAAAATATTATTTTTTAAAATTATATAAATTAATTAAATTTAATTTCTTATTTATAATATTTGTATATTATAGTATTTATGTATTTATTAGGAACATTGTTCCACAATTCTTGGTCATTTTATTAATTTGTCATGAATAAGTCTTCGTGAAATAAAAATAATAAATGCATTGCGCAAGGGGAAAAATAGAGAATTGAAGATGTTCGGTGACCTTTTCCTTTTCTTTCTTTTCCTATTTCTCAAAGGAAGACTAAGCATCGGTCAAGCAGTGTTATTAAATATGAGGTTCTTGCTTACTATATGTTTTTATTAATTTTTTTGTATGAAATTGGTTTAATAAATTTTTATTAAACTTGTAAGACCAAGACAACATCCAACGTCAACTCGATAATTTGTTTCTATTTCCTAACAACTTAAAAGCAAGAATTGTCCGGATGTTCCACACAACGCTGTCGGTTTAGGCTTTTCCCAATTTCCTGTCCTATCGAACTGAAAAGCTAGAAAATGCTAAGATGACGTGTGATTTTTTCTTTCACGAAAATGGAGCAATATCAAAGAATTAAAGTACTGGTTAAATTTGGTTAATTAATGGTGTGAAAACAAAATTTTGAACCTTCAAAAGGAATAATAATTCATAAAAAACACGGTTCAATACTTTTTTATATCAACAATATTAATTCGTGCAACAATAATGAAGAAAATTAAAAAAAAAGAAAAAGAAAATGAACGACATGTAATTATGATTTTATTTGTTTATTAAAAATATAAATAATATATTAATATTTATAAATTATTTAAATTTAATTTGAATAAAATTTGAAATTAATTTAAATATTATTTAATTAAAATTAAATTTAAATAATTTAATTTATTGATCGAATAAAATTTAAATATTTTTATATCAAATTTGAATAGCTTGTGAGTCTAATTAAATTTTTATATTTTAATTAATAAAATATATCAAATTTAAACTTAAATATAAATAATTAAGTTTTTATCAAACACAAAAATTAAATTTATTTTTATATATTAATCGAACATAATTGAATGAATTTAAATAATTTAATTTTTATTTCAAATCGAATTCAAATTAAAAAAAAAATTTATCAAGTTTCAACTTAATTTCAGTTTCAAATTTAAGTTTAAATTTAATATTATATCAACTTAAATTTTATTGATTATATTTTAAATAAAATATGAAATTAAAAAGTTATTTTTTTAATTTTTTGTTTATTACAAACAACTAGTGGTTTTATTTTATTGAAGTTCATTTAATATTTTGGCCCTAAAAAATTCAATTAATATAAAACTGGCCCAAACTGCAACTCTTACTAATGAAAGGCGTCACGTTTCTTTTAGCAACAGACAAAAAATGCACTTTAAAAAAGGACAAAAGAAAAAAATATCGAAACAACTTACACTATTATAGAAGAACCGAAGAAACATTAATAAAACAAAAAACCTTGTTTCAATATTTGGACTAATAATATTTGGCAACAAAATATACTGCAAGTATAGGCATCTGTCTCACGTGCCGCCGCCCATCGTTATCAGGGGCCAACAATTTTACCCGAAAGCAGCAGCGTGTGTGACGCGTAGACGACTTTTCTCATCCTTGTGCTCCCCTGACATGGCGGTCACCTAACGGTCCTAACCCCACACTCCTGCCTCATTTCGTGCCATGTCTACGTGCTGTGGCCCCCACTTTGTCTCCTCCCCGCCCTACACATCGTGATTTCACACAAACAAGTAAATTCTTTCTACCTCTTCTGCACTTTTTTTTATTATTTTAATTAAAAATGTGTATTTATTTTTCTATTTTTTGTCGCTTTCACGACTTCTCCTCCGTCAGCTGCCTACCAAAGCCTCACTTACGTCTAATCGAATTTAGTGGAGCTTAATATATTGTTATCGAATTATTTTTAATTATTTAAATATGTATAAATATATAAATTAATATTATTTAATTATTTATATTTTTAAGACATATATAAAATATATAATATAATTAAGATATCAAATTATCATAAAATTAAAATTTTTATTAAAAATTAAAATATAAATCCATATTAATAAATTCCTTTTAAAAATATTATATTTTACATCTGAGATTTATTTTTCTCTTTAAAAAAATTTACTTGGTGTTTAAAGTTTTGATTCGTTTTGTTCTGTTAATTTTTTTTGTTTTTATTTCATTATAAAATTTACGATTTGGGTGAATATATGTACTTAAATTAATCTATAAATAATCTAAATATATATTATTACATTTTGAATTTTTAAATTCAAAATAACAGAGATATATATATTTAGATTGTTAGGAAATCTATTTTAAAATATCATATATTACTAAGAATTTTAAATTTAAAAAGATATTGTCTAGATTATTGAGAAATTCATTTAAGATTTAAAGAGATAATATATTTAAATTAGATTTTTGTTGATAATAATATTTAATTATTATTGTCGGTGTCATTCATAAAAACAATCCACGTAAGCGTTTTATGTGATAAATTTTATTAAGTTTTTATATATGTTATAATACAATATTATATATGATATACGATACGATTTGAATTCAAGTTCCACTTGAATATTATTGTTGAAAATTTAATTTTATTTTGATAGAATTTTAATTTTTAAATTTAAATTAATTTGAAATAAAAATTAAATTATTTGAATTTGTTCAATTAATATCATTTATCAAAGAAAAATGAATTTAATTTTTATATTTAATTTTAAATTTATTTATTTATATTTAAATTTGATTTACAACTCAAATTAATATATAAAGATAAAACAATTAATATATTAAAATATAAAAATTTCATAAACCTCATAAACTATTTATATTGGATATTAAGATATTTGAATTTAATTGATTCAATAAATCAAATTCTTCCAACTCAATTTAGCATTTACCAAATCGAATTTAAATTTTATCTAACTCAAACTTAAATAGATTAGAGAACTAATGTATAGTTACACCTTTATTCCCATCCTTTGTGAGTCCCAAATTGACATGGTAGATGGCATGGCACTTATCTTCAAAGTTCTGGCCTTGCCCTATTTAAACCCCTTGAGACGTCCCAAGCTCATCACAGTTCACAGCCCCTCCTCTACCCTCCTGATAACAAAGTCTCCTCTTTCACTTTCTGTTTCATTTCCTCTATAATTCCAAACGCTTTAATTTTTTTTTTCTCTTTAATATAATCTCCTCTTTTGAAATGGCTATTGATTCTGCTCTCTCATCTCCGCTGGGTCCGCCAGCATACGAGAAAGATGCAAAAGCTTTGCAATTCATCGAGGAAATGACTCGAAATGCCGGTTCTGTTCAAGAAAGAGTTTTGGCAGAAATATTAACCCAAAACTCTCAAACTGAGTATCTTGGAAGGTTCGAGCTCAATGGCGCAACCGACCGAGAGACTTTCAAGTCCAAACTTCCTGTGATCACTTACGAAGACCTTCAGCCTGAAATCCAGCGTATTGCTAATGGTGACCGCTCTCCAATTTTATCAGCCCACCCCATCTCAGAATTTCTCACCAGGTGCGCATATCAACCCTACTTTGTCGAACTTCAAGAAAAAAAAAAAAGGAAATAGGAATGATATATGGTAAAATTTTCGATGCTGAATAATGTATGAATTTCCTGGAAAATCATGCAGCTCCGGGACTTCAGCTGGAGAGAGGAAACTCATGCCAACAATTAAAGAAGAGCTAGATCGCCGTCAGTTGCTCTACAGTTTGCTCATGCCAGTAATGAATCTGTAAGCATTAAAAATGACTGGCTACAGATATTCGTATTATTGGTATAATTGGTTCTTTCCATAAAATAATGAAACGCGCTTTCTATGTAACAGTTTTGTGCCAGGTTTGGACAAAGGCAGAGGACTATACTTCTTGTTTGTGAAATCAGAAACAAGGACCCCAGGTGGTCTCTTGGCTCGCCCTGTGCTTACCAGCTACTACAAGAGTGACCATTTCAAGACACGACCATACGACCCTTACAATGTTTACACCAGCCCCAACGAAGCCATCCTCTGTCCGGACTCCTTCCAGAGCATGTACAGCCAGATGCTCTGCGGTCTCCTGGAACGCCATCAAGTTCTCCGCGTTGGCGCAGTGTTTGCCTCAGGTCTACTCCGCGCAATCAGGTTCCTTCAGCTGAACTGGGAACAACTTGCCCAGGATATCGAAACAGGTTCCTTGAATAAAAAAATCACCGACCCTTCACTAAGGGAATGCATGGCTAAGATCCTGAAAGCCAATCCTGAGCTTGCTAAGTTTGTCCGCCAAGAATGTTCACAGGACAGCTGGGAGGGAATCATTACAAGAATTTGGCCGAACACAAAGTACCTTGACGTTATAGTAACTGGAGCTATGGCACAGTATATCCCAACCCTGGATTATTACAGCGGTGGGTTACCTTTAGCATGCACCATGTATGCTTCATCCGAGTGTTATTTTGGCTTAAACCTTAACCCCATGTGCAAACCATCAGACGTTTCTTATACCATCATGCCAAACATGGCCTACTTTGAGTTCTTAACCCACGAGCCTAACTCAGCTGGGTTCACTTGTGACTCGCCTCCTAAACTCGTTGACCTTGTGGATCTGGAAGTTGGGAAAGAATATGAGCTTGTGATCACAACTTATGCAGGATTATGCAGATACCGAGTCGGTGACATTCTCCGAGTCACTGGCTTCCACAACTCAGCCCCGCAATTCCATTTCGTAAGGAGAAAGAACGTGTTGCTCAGCATTGATTCAGACAAAACAGACGAGGCCGAGTTACAGAAGGCGGTTGCAAATGCTTCCCAACTCTTGCGCGAGTTCAACACCAGTGTCGTCGAATACACGAGTTACGCGGACTCAAAAACAATCCCTGGTCACTACGTGATATACTGGGAGTTGTTAGTGAAAGACTCGGCTAACTCTCCTAGTGATGAGGTCCTGAAACAGTGTTGTTTAACAATGGAGGAGTCCCTAAACTCCGTGTACCGACAAGGCCGAGTTGCGGATAACTCAATAGGCCCACTAGAAATCCGGGTGGTAAAAAGTGGCACATTTGAGGAGTTAATGGATTACGCCATATCCAGAGGGGCGTCCATCAATCAGTATAAGGTTCCAAGGTGTGTTAAATTCACTCCTATCATGGAGTTGCTCGATTCTAGGGTGGTATCGTCGCATTTTAGCCCAGCTTTGCCACATTGGACCCCGGAAAGGAGAAGATGATTTACTGATTTATTTAGGCACCGACCAGATTAAGTCAATGAGATGGTTATACTTGTAGCTTCTCTTTGTTGTTCATTGTTTAATTTACTTGAGTTTTTCTTTTACTTTTTGTGGTAGCTAGGATGTTTCAGGGTCAGTTGTATTTTCATTCAAAGGATGTGAGCTGAAGCTGATGTCTGTCTACTGAATTGTTTCTTTCATGTAATGGAACAGATAAGGTTTCTTCTGAACATGCTGCTTTAATATCCTTTGTCTTTGTCTTTGTCTTTTGTTTTCAACATTTGTTTTCTTTGTGAAATGTAGAGGAATAAGCTTCAGCAATTTACAAAAATGAGAAAACTGTTTTCTACCCCCAACATGTAGGGAGAGGAAGCTATAATTTTAGCAGGATCAGTAGTTAAATACCAACAGATTATGGTTTATATATGTAATTTTGGTTGGAATTTCATGGTTTTGACAATTATTTATTTTCCAAGTACAAAATGATTTCCAGGATCATTTGGTGGAGGAAAATGACACCAGTTTGGAATTAGACGGTATTTTGGAAGTCATGGGTGAAAGAAGGTTGCGATGCTTATCACTTCGTGTTCTTAAAAGTATGGGATAGTTTGATATTTTGTGGAATGAAAGTGGCTCTCGTAATTAATGATGCAGGCACTTCCGACATAAACACTTTTGATAATTAACTTTGTTTTGGCTTTTCACAGTGAATTATCTGGATTGTCTCCAAGCACCCATGTTTTGAAATGATGTGGATGTAAATTCACTGAATCGGAAAAAAGCAAGTAAATTCCAACAGACTGGCAATAAAGGGGAAAGAACCATTTTCTTTTCTTTGAACACCTTTCTTTCCTTCAAGTAAATAATGCATTTTCGTCTGATTAGAAAGGAAATCCTGAAGTTTTCAGCTGATCAATCCGTTCAAACTTATTGTTCCTCATCAACATGCTTTCCTCAGTTGAATATCACATCCAAAAAGGAAAGGTCTTAGCAAATTAATGAAGTGATCCATCTGCTCAGCCCGGAAAGAATTTTCAAGGCCTACTGCTTCAAATCTGACTAACACAGTCAGTGAGTTTCAAACTAGTGGCTGATGACCTGCTTTCCTGTGTAACGAGTTGCTTTAGAGACGCGTTAAGTAAGCTTGCCGGGTGTGGCTTCAGGTCAGAGCAGACCAGAAACATAAAGAAAACAACCCATTGTCTGTCCAAACTCCGACGTATTGCTGACACTGGGGGAACAAAGGCCAAACCTCCCCTTTCGGCATCCTATCCTGAAAGGAGCCAATCAAGCTTGAACCTAATCCAAAGTACCATAACTCGCATTCCTTTGTGTTCTCTTTAAACATCGCTTGGTCTATGTAAAAACAACATTTATGGACAATCAGTGCATGATTTTTTTACTATCAGATTCATAATTCTGCTATTTCAGAGGTCATTCCGGTTTGGGTTTTTTTCACCTTTTTTTAAGGCTGTGAAGTTGGATCCTATTCCAACTCAAGTACTTTCCTCTTGGTTTATTGGATAACCAGGATATCTGCTCATCATCCAAAATAGGGCACATGTTAAACATCTAGCCAGCCACTTATGAGAAATCATTGCAGAAGAAAGTTGAAGTGATAAATTCTAAGAAACCACTTCCGGCCTCCACAAAGAAGCTTCAATGGTGATGCAGATAACTCACGGAGTTGTCTGTTCTAGTCTAGAAGTGATGAGTTGTTAAGGGAAATGGCCGCAGGAAAGCTCGATGTAAACGTGCATTTGAAGGGGGTGGGACATGGCATTTTCCCAGCCATCATCATTCTTTGCTTGAATCGTACCACCTCTAAATGGGGATGACGTCCAAATGCAATTATGCATGCATTTTTTGGTTTAAAGTAGAGTACCATAAATATTTAAAAGAGTCCTACCAAATGTACTTCAACCCCTTATTTTTTCCACACTCTAATTATTTTTTTTAAATTTATATATATATAATTATTTAATTATTTTTTATATAAAATTTTAAAAATAGATTTTCATAAAGTTATTTTTTTTGAAATAAATTTTTAAAAAATCATATAATTTTTTGAGAATAAAATTTCAAAAAATTATAAACCTTTTCGAGAATAAATTTGAAAAAAATCAAAATTTTGAAAAATTTTAAATTTTTCATAAATTTATAATTTTATAAAATTGTGAGAAAGGTAATAAAATAATTTTACTTATAAAAAATTAAAAAAAATGTGTGAAGAGAAAAAATGTTGATATATTTAACAGCATTCTATTTAAAATTTTATTATTCATTAAAAATAATTAAACAATATTTTAAAATTTAGAATTTCAAGTCTATAAACCTTTGAGAAATTGAAAACATTAAAATTGAACCAAGACTATTTAGTCGTGATTTGTTATTTTATTTTAGAATTAAAATCAAAGTAAGCACTATACTATGTTTTAATATTGAAATTTGAATGGTTGTTCAATTTATTTATTAAATATTTTTGAATAAAAATTAATAAAATTTTGTTTCCCTCCTCCAAACAAATTGTGGCTGCCGTTACTGCTGGAGGGAAGAGAGAAACTTTAATTTGAGGAGAGAGAAGAGAGAAGAGGGCCGAAGAGTAGCGGAGGCAAAATCCAGATATATGGCCACCCCTCTTTCCTCTCATCTCTCTCCTCCTTCCTTCTCTTCCCAATCACCTTCTATTGCAAAGCCCTTTCTCTTTCCTTCCTCTCTCTCTCCTCTTCGAACACTAGAAAATCCCCCAAAACCCCTCTTCTTGCTTTCTCTTCCATCAATTTCGATGCCATTCTTTTCCATGATGCCTTCGGTTCCAATCCTACTCTCTCAAAGGTCAGGTTTTGCAAATCAGTTTTATTTTTGGAAAGTTACATTTTTTTCAAAATTTTTTTTTTTTTTTTTATAGTAGTGAGAAACTCGAAAATTGCTAAATTTAGACTGGAATTGCTGCTTTCCTTGGCTAATTTATTTATTTCAATATGGTTGAACTTGTTACGATGGGAAATTGGGATTGTATCTCGTGGACGACAAAATTTTATGTGTAGATTCGATTGAATTGTTTTAGGGTTACTTAAGATTTATCTTTTTATTGGTTGTTGAGAAAATGTGGGAAATTATGCCAAATTATGGTACCAAATTTTAGGTTATTACTTATAGGAGGAAGAAAAACAGTTCTTTCTATATAGAACTGAAACCGATGTATTATTTCACTTCAGCTGTTGTTGTGAACTACAATAATTGAAGTTCTTTTTGTTTCATTATTATAGAATAACTATATGGTTATAGTCGATGTAAATTATGTTTGGCTAATTAGATAAGCAATCTTTCAAGCTATGTCCTCTTTAACTTTCTCTTGAAAATGTGGTCTTAAAAGAATAAAAACCTCATTATGGACTACATTCTGGGAGGCAATTTCTTTCCCAGGGTCTACCAGCATTTCCGCATGGATGTTCTATTGGAGTCTGCTTCAGTTTTTCAACACATAATGAGATCATTGAACCTGACTAATGAATGCTTTGGGGGACATACACTGATACACATATCTTAACTTGAACACATCCACTTAAAATACATGCCAACTTGAAGTGGCGGACTGGTGGGTTATTTATGTGAACCACATTTTGAAAAGGGATGTGATTTAAGAAGTCATTGAGACATGGACGATAAGCTGGAATGATGACTCTTTTTTTCCTTTCACATAAGAAGCATCCGTTTGTTTTCCTTGCCGTGTGTTCCAGGCAATTCCAGTTAAAATTTCCAATATATTTGAGCTGTTGTTCTTTTTCAATAAATCCTAGTATATACTTGACAAAGATAGGCAATGATTCTTTATAGTTTTCAAATTAATGCATATATGTACTATTTTCAAAGTGATTTTCTGGAAATGATTAGAAATTGACTTTTAGCATTTTATTTCAGAAATCGGTCCTCACCAATCTGATACAGGAGATAGAAGTATTGGATGTTAGCCTTATTCAAAAAGATGTCCCCCCCCCCCTCCTACTGTGGATGCCATGAAAAGGACTATTTCAGGCATGTTGGGTTTACTTCCATCTGATAGGTTTCAAGTCTTTATTGAGGTATTGCACGAACCTCTCTCTAAGTTATTGGTTTCTTCTATGATGACTGGGTATGTTCCTATTCTAAATGATATGTGCCATTGTTATAAATGTTTCTATACTCCGGTTGGTTGCCAACAGTGTGAACCTTAGCTAGGGGCTTTATGTCTCTGCTTTTTGTGATAGTTTCAATGCTTTCAATGCTTGTTGGACATATCTTTGCTTACTAACCACATTACGTTCTCTATATATCCCTCTTTTTTGCAAAAAAAGGTCAATATCATATTAATATTTGTTAGGGAGAATAGCCAAATCTTGAACGCATCTAAGGATGCCAAAAATGGCTCTATATGCATTTTGGACACCACCTGAGCTCAAAAGCCAATGCGAAATATATCTTCCATGTATATATTTCGCATTTACTTCCCATTTCTTCTTAATATGGCACAATCACTGTCACATTTTTATCTTAAGGACATTCGTGCTAAGATCATAATGTTTAAACGTTTGATGTACCATGAGACATGTGGAGTAGCATTTGCCTCCGATAGATGTCTGTCAGAATATTGGGAGTATCACATGAATAATAGTTCTCCTTGAATTGCAGTTATACATTAAGGAATGCAGAATATAGGCTTTGCCTTGAATGAAATATTGTTGTGAAGGATATTTGGAAAATCAAACTTCAGAAAAGTTGATTTACAAGAGATGTTGTGGGGCAGTATAAAATAAATGAATTTTCATGGAAAGATAATGTGTCATCTGAATTTGAGAAAATCACTGAAGACCAATTTGAAGATATTGAATTTCAAAGCATCGGTGAAATGTCCCTTGAAATTCGTAAATACATTCTTCGTTTGCAATCTCATCTAACTTCAGTGAAAAAGGTATGTTATAGCATTTTGAGGAGCTTCTCGTTGTCCCTTCTTTTCTTTGAATCTCTAAATTGTTTAACCTGAAGTATTGACTGGAGAAAATGTTACCTTTATGTTCTATGTGTGAATTTGATTAATTGTAAACACTTCATAGTTTGCATCAGTGTGAAGCATTAAAAAGATGCTGGAAAGGCTAAGAGATGCTGTTGCCTTTTATTCAATGTGGCTCTAAATAAATGTGAACTTCTCTCTCACCCTTTGTAGTTCCTCTTTTGGCTTATGTGATATCCATATTGCTGATATTTAGGTAACATTCTCCTTTGAAGGCCTATGTTTTTCATTGGAGGTAGGATATAAGCTAACTCGTTATGTCATGCATTCCAAAGTGTTGATAGCATTATGAAAGAATGCAAAAATGTCGACAAACAAGAGCTGTCTATAAATAATTATGGTTATCTTGTTACACATGCCAATCCGATCAAATCAGTTCATCAATCAATGGAAACATTTGAGCTAACAGAAAACTAAATTTGAGATACTAAATTTGTCTTTCTTCCAAGATCGCTATCATAGTTGTATATTTTGAGAGTTAGCCCCCATAGAAGAATTGGCAAGATATGAAAATTCTGGCTTTTCAAAGTCTAAAGACCATTAGAGGAATGTTCCATGGTTGATCAGGATCAGATATTAAAGGTTGCATCATACTATATCTTAAGAATGGATCTTCTCAATTGTGAACATTTCAGTTTCCTTTTCATTTATCTGTACTAATCATATATTTTTGCTTTTCAATTTTGTCAATTCCTTATCTGCAATTTTGTGGGATACATGCCTCATATTTCCCTCTTTTGCTGCATTGAAGGAACTTCGTGAAGTCAAGAGGAAAAATGCTGCTCTGTAAATGCAACAGTTTGTTGGGGAAGAAAAGAATGATTTACTTGATTACTTAAGATCACTACAGCCTGAAAAGGTCCCTTGATCTCATAAATTTTCTAAGCAAATTGATTTACTAATATCCCATTAACATGATGCTATGAATGTAATATATCTTTATGATGATAAAATTTAAGTTCTTTGCTTTTTCTCAATTGATACGAAGGAAAGATTGAAATAATTAAAAGAGCATTTGCAATGTCATAATGTCATGTTCCTAGTTTTATAGGATTGAGGTACAGGTTTTGGTTTAAAGGAGTACCTCTGCTTAGTGCAAATTGCTAGCACATAGCAGTTTTACTCTAAATTGATATTTCTGTACTAGTGCAGCCAACTGCTTAATCTGTCACATGAAACTTTTTATTTAGCAATGAACTTCAGTCAATTCCTATATTATCATGGTTAATAAAATCATAACTGAAGTTTCAGGTAGCTGAGCTTTCTGAACCAACATCCCCTGAATTGAAAGAAACAATCCACTCTGTAGTCCATGGTCACCTTGCCAGCCTTTCTCTGAGGATTCATTCCAAGTTTCCGCTGTCAGAGAACACCACAACTGGAACTGTAAATATTGGGAGTGAAGATTGTGCCGAACTTGTTGAGAATACTTTGCTTCAGTTCCAGCCCTTCATTTTGTTAACATGGACTATCTTGCTCGTCTTCTCTTCTGGTTAGTCCAGCTCCCCACTCTTCCCCCCTCTTTCTCTCACACATACATTAGCCCCAAGAATTTTATGTATATATATATATATATATATTTTTTAAATTTTAAATATTTAAAATGAAATCTGGTTTCTGGTGTTCAAGAACTCTTTTTATCTGTTTCAAAATTTTAACAGGAAATCTGCATTCTTTTGCATTTGTTGCTCATTATATAGTTGGATCCTGTTTAAATTTGAATATAGTATTGTAT